GAGCACAGATAGCCCTTGTGTAGCTTTGTGCATAATCAAAAACAAACAAACAAACAATCCACCAAGATATTTCTACAATGGAACAGTGATATCAAGAATGATGGAATCCTGTTATTATGGGATATTACTGTTGGTTCTTACAGCGTGAAACTGAAAACATACACAAAAGGTGCAACAAGTCAAGCAAATATTTTGTAAGAAAAATAATACCATGATGACAGTTTTGAACATAGCCTGAAGGGAATCTACATAATCTTATCAAATGATCATTAATTAATACAACCGAGCAAATAATCAGTATAATGTTGAAAGAACTAAAACGAAAAAGTCTCAATAAAGATTAAATAAAGATTTTTGGTTTCGGTTATGGAAAAAAATCTTCGTCATACCTTAACACTGTCGTGTTTGGTTTATTTATTTGTTTAATTTTCGTGCATACTTATTCGAGGGCTAGCCGTCCCTAATTTAGAGGTGATAGACTAGAGAGAAGGTAGCTAGTCAACACCACCCATTACTAACTTTTGGGGTACTATTTTACCAACGAAAAGTTGGATTGGATGTCACATTATAACGCCCCCACGGCTGAAAGGGCGGGCATGTTTGATGATAGATTCGAAACTGCGACTCGAAAATGACGATTTATTAAAACACCAAACAATTTTATTAAACACCTGTAAAAAGGTGTCATTTCTCCTATCACCTTACCAAAATATCTATAATGAAAATTAAAACTGGAAAACACATAACATTGATTAAAAACAATTTAAATAAGATTCATCCAATACAAAAAAAAATATAAAAGATATAGTTGAATTAAAACAACTGAATGATGATAGCTGGTAAAGCCTTCATATCCTGTAATAAGAGAACAGAACATGTTTTGGATGTGTATCCAAAACAATTACTCCTTCCGAAAAGGTTTGTTTTGATTAGACAAGATGGAAACGTTTGGCACTATTTTCGAGGTCTAGGTCGCTGGACAAGGCCCGTGACTGGACCCATGACCTGACCTGAGACCACGAGAGCCAAAATGGGAAAGTTAACTTATAAATATGAACTAAAACAATGAAACATGCTTGCAATGTTCTAGATGTGATTATGAATGTGATGGTTTAAGTGTAGCGATTAAACTAAACCGTGGGTCCAGTTCGAATGAGGGAAGAAATTGTTTGAAGATATCTTAATCGATTTGACATACCAGCTGAATTGGAGATTCCTCATCTAATAACTGCATTGACAGCGAAACATAAAACAACGGGCACGTTATCTCTAAAAGGAAGGACTGGAATCATACATAAGAAATAATTAGTTTCAATGTTTTGTGAAACTAACGGCACAGTAAAGCCCAAATATGCAGTTTTGAAATTAAAGCAGATCCACTACAAGATGATTTCCCCCAGCGATTCTCAAATTTAAAATGGCGTTTCTACAATGAAAAGTAAATATAACAAGGATGATGTGATGCCCAGTATAGTACCACCATAATATAATCCATATATGTTTCATCATGTCATATTTTCATTAATTGTTTTCTCGTTTTAGTAGTTGTGCGAGTTTCATTCATCGAGATCTATTCAAGTAACCCTAAGTCAACAGTTTCTAGAATGTTGACCATCCTAGGTTCAATACTAAAAGATACTGTGCTAGCATGTGTGGCAGGTGTTAAAATGTAACATTGGTGATCATGTTATGGGTTGAAGAACGTGTGTTACTGAATGATATTTTCATGCAGTCTGCTAAGATGAATGAAGTATGATTCAGAGTGTTCAACTTTGTTTTCGTATTGTTACGTCTCCGTTCGTTAGTTAATTTTCCGTAAATTCGTTTCGACGAAACTTTAGCGACACAAGTCCTCTGTTAAATAAAACTGGTTTATTCTTTCCGAATACAACTTACGATACACTTAATTTCAACAGTCGCTCTATAACAAACGCTCACGTCTCACGTGGCCAACAATATTTTGTCCGCATACATTCAATTACTCATTACCTACACACATTCTTCCGTCACGTTGTGATCATCTTATATATACCAGGCTACCCCCAATCTAGTAATCTCCCGAAAATTCACGAAGGTTCGAGAAGGAAGTGGCGTGATACTAGTCACGTGACCTCGCTGACGCAACAGTATTTATATTCTACGTATTTGTTACAGCTCAACCATTATGATAATTAGGTTCCTTTCATTTTATCAAAAGTGAAAAAAACGTCAAAAATATCTGTGTTGTTACGATAAAAGCAAAAGTGGAAAATACCCTCCACTGAGGAAATATTGTGCTAACCGTGTGATACCACGCGTTCCTCAGTGACTCACTCTTCATGCTCATCACTGGAAGGAAGAGCAAAGTATTGATGGATTCCTTAATAGGGTGTATAAAATTATCACAATCAATTATCTCACTTAACGTTGGCCAATTAGCTAAATGGTCTACGTAAATTTTGCTTTTCAATCTGCAATTATTAAATACTTATTTTTAAGTATGAACTGAATAACAAACAAAATAAGAATCACTTATCAAATAGTATTTGATTAGCAGATTTAAATTCCTCATCATAGACAGAACACTTTATAGGGTTAGTTGGTGTTTCCATGCCAGTGATCTTAGAAAAGTTTGTTTGTTTTTTGAATTTCGCGCAAAGCTACACCAGGGCTATCTGCGCTAGCCATCCCTAACTGAGCAATGAAAGACTAGAAGGAAGGTATCTAGTCATAACCACCCACCGCCAACTCTTGGGCTACTCTTTTACCAACGAATAGTGGGATTGACCGTCACG